CCCGCAGGGCACCGGGACCTCGCGCTCTGTCCCGCTACCCGTCCCTGGAGCCCTCCCAGGTTGCCCCGGGGGAGCTCTGCACCTCGGGGCAGTTGCGGGGTGGTGGGCGGGGTGTGGTGCCACGGAGGTAGGGCCCGTTTCCAGTCCCGCCTGGGACTCCCACGTCACTGCTGGGCCTCTCCACTCGGGGCACTCGGGAGAGGGAGAGGCGCTCGCTCAAGGGCCCGTGGGCATTCTTGGTGCAGTACTGACATCAAGCAGAACTCCTCTGTTATTTAGTGAACCTTGTGCTGCCTTTTGCCTGGGAGTAAAGTTGGATTTTTATTTGGGACAGCATAAGGACCTTATGTGCAAGTCTTCATTTCCCAGTGTTGCCAAACTTCCTTCCCAATCTTTGAGGCTCTATAGAGGTAAAGCAGGGCAAAGCATGAGCCCTTTGTGCCCTCAGTGTTTGGTTTGGGATATTGTATCTTTGGAACCTGTGGCATTTTTCTTTGGCTATGTCTGGATGAGTAGATGTTCCCCTCCTTTGTGCTCTGGGTCTTTTCCAACTGTGGTTTTGACTGTGTGCCTCTTCCCCTAGGAGTGGAAGCATAATTGGCCTTGTGTTTCTCAGGGCCCTTGAAACCTTTCTCTTGGTCCTGCTATAACCTTTGTAAAGAGGGGTATGGCAATTTGTAACACTGCTCTCTTTTGGTCACCGAAGAATTAGGACTCCTAAAATCTTCAGGTCATCAGAAGGATATGCACACTTTGTTGTTTCCCATGTTTGATTTTCTTCGCTTGTGTCTAGGGATTTCACTTGGCCCAGTCCTGAGGTATGTTAGTCAATTTTGTTGGGGCTCTTTTTTGTCTTCCAGACTAACTCGTTTGTGCCAGTGTCTATGCCTGATCCTTGGAGGCTCCATGAGACTAGAGGCATGTCTTTCTTGTCCTTCCATCTTTTTTGCAGGGTTGTTGGACTTCTTGATCGCAGTGCTGGTTTCCATTGGTCACCAAAGAATTTGTGTTTGCTTTTTTGAGGCTCCTTGATCAGGCTGGCCTTTCAGTGACTTCTTAAAATTTTCCATGTTGATAGTCCCA